TGGCGAAACGTGTACTGTTTACTTGCACAGTCTCAAGATCTTTGAGCCCGTCATGCTCGCTGTGAAGAGTTGGTGCCATTTGGTTTGCAGGATCGCTCCAGATTCTGTGAAGATTGCGTGGAGAATCATTTGCTTGCTTCGCTGCGGGTGGCAGGCTGATTAGTTCTAGCAAATATATATGGCCACAGTGACAGCGCTGCTGCGTTGAATTCGCAAACAGTGCTGGCTGCACGCCGATGTTCCCGGCATGGAAGACTTGCGCTAAGCGTGTAATCAAATCACGCTGCCCTTCCTGTCGACCTGCGGACCGCGTATGCCTGCGGTTTTTCCCGGTTTTTTGATTTCCCCTTGGGCACCTGCGTGTTCACATGATCAACAAACAACTAGCAGCCGTTATAAACATCTAGAAGCTTGCGTGCGTTTGCCCGCTCACTTGCAAGTTGCTTGGACCAATTTTCGGCTTGACTGTAGCATGCAAATTCCTGGGGGAAAGTAGATGGCACTCTTCTCCCATTCGGGTTTAGACATCCCCTCCAGCCTCATCTTCACTTTGACCCTGGATTCATTACCCCCTGGTTGTTTTTCTCAGGGGTGTCCCTTGGGTTTAGTGGGGATTCATCGCTTTTGGAGGGGGGGTGCCCTGGGTTTAGCGGGGATTTATGCCTTTTGGGAGGGGCACACCCCCATGTAAACAAACAGTGGCTCTTCTAACCTCTATCCCCATCCTGTTCTGGGATCCTTCTCTTCCCCCAAAATTTGGCCAATCTTCCAGAAAAATTGGGTTTCCAAAGGGAACGTCTTCCCCAAAATGTCAATTCTTCCAGAAAAACGGGTTTCCAAAGGGAACGTCTTTCCCACAATTTTGCCAATCTTCCAGAAAAAACAGGTTTCCAAAAAAATCGGGTGAAGAATGGGAACGGCGGATGAACCTGCGGTCTGCTCGCTCAGACTCTCCACCGCGCAGGCTACCACCTGGCGCGGTGGCCTTGGCACCTTGGGATCGGAACTGTTGGAGGCGAAGCTGTGGAGCCCCGGTAGAGAATCCTAATCCTCCATATATGCTTGAGTCCCCTGGAAAAAATACGGAACATATTTCCAGTAGTGATCGATTCTCTTTAAAACCAAAAGGGGGAAATAAATATTTTCTTAACCAAATGGAAGTAATAGGCTAATAGGGGGCTCTTTGGTGGACAGCAGAACTCGGGGGGATCATGTCCACCAAGAACTTTGGATCATGGAAATTCATAGCCATACACTTTCTTGGAGCCACTGCAAGGCGGGTCGCAGCCCAGAGGGTCCAAGTACCTTCTAAGGATGTACTTAGACCCCTTTTGACCCCCCAAAAGCAGGTACTTGGAGCCTCTGGGTTAAAAGAGTATGAAAGGAGTGCTAAAAACAGGACCAACAGGGGGAAGAACAGGTGCAAGTCACAGAAAAAAAGAAAAAAACAAGCCGTTTTCCAGATGTTTGACACGTGCAAGCGCCACATCTTTCTTTGGACGTGTGGGTTTGGCATTTGTTTGATGATCCCGATCCCATTGATGTATATTTGCGAACACGGACTAGCCACAAAAAAGAACTGACACAAGTTGGGAGATGTTAGTTTTGTGTCACACGGGTTCAACAGTGGTTGTTCTTGTTCAGCAGGTCTTGAGGCCCTGCGGAATTCTGGCACCTATGTTCCTGGGAATCCAGGATGTGTCAACCTAGCGCAGAACTTCTGACAATGTGCGCCAAAGAAAACCGAGCCAACTTTCTGGACAACTTGCGCGATCATTGTTACGCGACTCCATTTCAAACCCATCACACTGAACTCAGTGTCAGCGGCTTTTGAGCGGTCAAACGCGCATATGTTGTTGCTGTTTAGGTTTGGGTGCAGCATTTTGCACCTTGTCAAGACTCCATCTTGTACAACTTGCCAAAGTTGTGTCAGGCTTCTCAGGAGTAACAGACTGTGTTGTCCAAGCGGTGGTTCTTCAGGCAAGACCTCAGGGATGTGAGTCGAACGAGAGGTTGAGCAATTTGGGTTCAAAGCTTAGATCTCTGGACAGAATTTGACGCCCTTGGTCGCTACTCGTTTCGTTCGAGCCACCTCGGGAGCCTCCATGCCATATAAGTGACGGCGCACAGCGCCCCGCATTCAAGATGTTCGTGGTTGTCCGAGTCTTTCAGATTGCAGTCTGAGGCGGTACCCTTCAGGTGAATGTGGATGGACAACAAGTGATGGCAGCGAGCTTGGCAATGAAGCCCGCGCAAGCGCCGCAAAGCACACACCCACCCACCCACCCACCCACCCACCCACACACACGCACGCACGCACGCACCCACACACACACACACACCCACCCACCCACCCACCCACCCACCCACCCACCCACCCACCCACGCACGCACGCACGCACGCACGCACGCACCCACACACACACACACACAGGCACAGACACAGACACAGACACAGACACAGACACAGACACAGACACACACACACACACACACACACACACACACACACACACACACACACACACACACACACACACACACACACACACACACACACACACACACACACACACCACACACACACAAACACACACACACACACACACACACACACACACACACACACACACACACACACACACACACACACACACACACACACACACACACACACACACACACACACACACACACACACACACACACACACACACACAAACACACACACACACACACACACACACACACACACACACACACACACACACACACACACACACACACACACACACACACACACACACACACACACACACACACACACACACACACACACACACACACACACACACACACACACACACACACACACACACACACACACACACACACACACACACACACACACACACACACACACACACACACACACACACACACACACACACACACACACACACACACACACACACACAGACACACACCCACACACCCACACACACCCACACACGCACGCGCCCACACACGCACGCGCACGCGCACGCGCACGCGCACGCACACGCACACGCACACGCACACGCACACGCACACGCACACGCACAACAGCGCGCACTTTCGTGGCAGTTTTGCTAGCACACTGGTCAGAACAAAGCAAACTAGTAGCTGATCAACATCTACCTTCTTTTAGCACCCTTGCTGTACCTCAAACTTGTGAAACCATGTTGTTCGCTTTGTGTTCTTTGCTTGCAGGCAGCAGTATCATGAATCAAGGAGGAATGTGGTGATAGTCAACGTGCATTGGCAAGGACAAAGTAGAAGAGATCATTTTGGCTTGCATCGGGCGATCCGCTGGGAAGTCACGGTAGCCATCAGGTCACCCAAAAATGGCTGGTTTGGGGATTTGAAGCCCTGGCTTTTGTAGAGGATAAACGGGAAACCCGCTGTACTGTAGAGCCCCTGGGTTTGGATCGGTTCGGGGATTGGCAGCATGCGTCACTTCGGCAGGCCCTTGGCAAATGAAGTGGGCAGGTGCCGAGGCGTTTCTCTACTCACGGTTTTTTTTTTTCCGGTCGCAAACGTTCGGCTCGGGGCGTGATGGTTGTGGATCTTTCACTGGTCCGAGTCCACAGAATGATTTTAGTTTGGGTGTTGGGTCAGGTCGGAATCCCGTCTCTCTGGGCTCCACAAAGTAGTTTAAGTTTTGGTGAAATGTGGGAATCCCGTCCCATTCAGCCACGAGTCTTCCACCTCAGATTTCGGTCACGCGAAGACGCGCACCATCCCAAAGGCGTTGAAGGAGTCATTCGGGTCAGTCGGGAGACTCTGCGGGCCAGTCCCTTGGTGCTTAGGTCCTGATCGACCCCAAACGAGGGCCGACGATGTACAAGGCGCGCCTTTTAGCGAGGGACAAGACCGTCGACAAGGACAGATACATCTCTTCACTGTTATTGGCATGTTTTTTAGTTTTTTAGTTGTTTGGTTCTGTTCATTTTTACTGGGGGTCTGCAAAAAACACAGTTTTTTTTGCTACAATACCAAGAGTAGAGATGATCTGTTTGGGTTTGTTTGTTTTACCAGCCCTACGGCGAATGTGTTAGTTTTCAATCGTGGCTCGTGAGGTGGTCAGTCACTTTCGATCCCCGCGTTTGTGTCGGATTGGAGCGTGGAGGCGTGGTCTTCCGCTTTTTGTTCGATATCTTATGGCACGTGGTGTGTTCTCTCAGCATGGGTAGAGTGGAAACCTCTGAGGACTGACCATTGACCGGCCATGTCCGGGTCCGTGACCTTTTCATACGGCGCCGATTTGCAGTATCCAGTGCAATCCGCTCACTCAAAGAGGTAATTTTAGTGGTAAATCAAAAGCTTGGACAAGTTTTTTGGGCCAATCCCCTCAGGAAGTGAGTCGGTCAGCTTAGTCACCTTCTTAGATCCTAGAAGCCGAAACTTCGACTCCTACACTTCCGGCTTGTCATAGCCGACACCCATGGATCCGTGGCTGGATGCCTTGAGATTCAGCCTTCCCCACCTGCACAAGATATGGTTTCATGATCCGTTTATGTTTGCACCTTGATGGTGGATGTCAGCTTGTCTCAAGATAGAAATTGAACTCCCAAAATGGCAGTTATCCTTTTGGTTTCCCTTTTAGTCCAAGTGAAAAGGGTATTCTCAAAAAGCACACACCCATATTTTTGCTGCACTTTGCTTATGAATGCTCGGGTAGCGCTCAGGTGATGTTTGCTCTCAATTGCAACGCAAAGGACTCGAATCTCAAGCAAAACTCGTCGTAGTCGACAGCGGCAACTAGACGGAGAAAGAACCTACCCAGTAGGACGGCCTCATCTTCCTGGGTGTTTGGCCAGACTGCAGAACCTCCCACGCACCCAAAGCACGATGGTCGAACAAAACTTCGCCACTATGGCTATAGACTGTGAGCATTTGAGGTCTTTCGCTCACGGTTTGATAATCCTCTGCTGCCAAAGCGCTGACGAAAGGGCCGCATGACGAGAACCGACTTGAGTCTAGGCACAGCACAGGACTCTGAAGAACCGATTGTTGTGGGGGAGAGTTGATTGTACCCTTATGCCGTGTGGCAGTGAGATGTGCAGCCGAAAGGATGTGAATTGACTTCCACAAGGGTTCCTTTGATCAGGACGGTTCACTGAATTCTCACGGGGTTCTATTTGCAGGCTGATGAAAGCGTCTTCTACTTCGACGAGACCAGCGCCTTGCCACTCCATTTTTGCGCCTGCGGGCACTCTGGGACGACAGATGACCAGCTGTCCTACCTTCGATGCACCCAGTTCCTGGTAATGCAGCGCATGTCATGTCAGACGCCATGTTCAAGAACGTTTTTCGCGCAACTGTTGCAGCAGGCTATGCGCTCACTTGGTCCTGTCTTCCCATGCGTTGAGCTACCCCGAAAAAAAAGCAAAAACAAACAGCTGCTTGATGCTGTGGGATCCTTTTTCAGTGCGACCCATCTGGGCAAAGTATAACACTTGCAAGGAAACGAGGGAACTTCACCGTGCCAAAAATGGCCTTCATGCCTTTTGGGTGCAATAACTTGTGTTTGAGAAGACATCCAGTATTCGCTAGCTTGCGGGAGGATAAACATAATCAATTCTGAGGAACATTGTATATACGGCAGGAAAGCTCCAAAACGTGTTAGTCTGTCAACCATCCTGAAACCTGAGTGCTCAAATGCCGCAAGCTTGTCCCAACGCCCACAATGCGAGTTTTGGGTGCAGGAAAAGGTGAGACCAAAAGCGGCAATCGCAGCCCCAAGCCCGATTTGGGCTATGCCTTGTTTGCTGGCTTGACCTGACCTCTTATCAGCAAATTCTTGGCGGTCGGTTTGTCCTGAGTTCCTGGGCCTCACACACATTTTGGGTTTGCAAGGTGGTGCCCCCCTGTTTATGAGTCAAGTTGCAACTTTGCTAAGTTAAGTTGCAAGTCGGGGTGTCTTGAGTTGTAAGCTCAGCATCTGGTCTTGCACATGCAACTCAGTCAAGCAATTGTAACTTAAGCTGTGGCAGTTGCGCCTTGAAGATCCAAACAAGAACAGGACACATACAAGTACGTTAAACAAGTTGCGCAGCACTTAGACATCAGGTTTAGCAAGTGCATTGGTGCAAGATCAGGCGCACGCGTTCAACTTAGGCGCCACGTACGAGAAGCAGTGGTACAGCCCACTGTTTGCTCAAGCTCTGCAGCAAAACGTTCACAGCGCGGAGCAGGCACGTTCCGCAGAGGCTGCCAGCGCCGCATATCATGCAGACCCATCAGAAATGCGAAGGGCTCCGTCAGAGCCAGCCAGGTGCGTGCTGGCAATCCTCGGTGCAAGCCCGAAGACAGGGCCGACGCAACAGGCGGAAAGCAGCAGAATGTGCTGTTCACAGCCAAAAGCATCTTCAAGACCAAGGCCACGCGAGCAAAGCAAATGCCCAAAGCCCGTGTTCGGGGGCTATGTCGTCACGTTGCCGGCCAGCCCGGCAGAGCTCGACGCAAGCATCGTCACGAGCTGCTTCCCGGTGACTTCTTGGAGCCCCAGCTGGACGTGAACCTTCTGTGCCAAGACGCGCGAGTGAGCCCCATGCGCAAGACCAACAGGGAAGTTGCGCTCCAACACGCCGGCGCGAGTGTCACCAAGTTGCCACGCAAGCATTGACGCAGGCTATGCAAAGCATGACTGCAATGTTCCACAGCATGTGGCAAGCCAACACCCCGCGCTGGCGCAACTTTCGAACTAGCAGTTGTTCCCTGCACGCAGGCCGCACGGGCTGAGCTGAAAAGCCTAGCTCCAGCACCCATGGCAAAGCGCCCCAAGTTGCCTGGCGTTGCAGGATGCGCGGGGGGCCTGCCGGAGCTCGCTCTGGCCGAGCCGGAAGCGAGCACCGGTCAGCCTGCCAAGGACGTGGTGCCCACCGAGCACACACCGGGCCTGGCCGTGCCACCAGATTCCGCGCACGCAAATGCGCCCCACACTTGCTTGCCGGCACCGCGCGCAAAGAAGTCCTTCTCGGACGCGCAGAAAAAACGCCGCAAAGCTTGGCGGCCACTGTTCAAGCGATCGCTTGCTGCAGACTCTATGTTAACTTAGGGGCAGCACCTTGTGGGCCATTTTAGCGATCAACAGAAAGTGTACCCTCAGACCGATAAACATGGCACTTGACGTTTTTGGGGGGGGCTGGTTTCTTTCTTGGACCGGGGCCCCGATCGTCAGGCTCCATCTCTGCTGGCAGGGCATTTGTTTGGCCAATCCACGAACGGGAATTCACACAGGCCTTCCCCTTAAAAGGAAACCAGCAGTTGGATGGTTTTTCTGCCTTGCGAGGCCAGCGGCCCTGGGATCAGATTCTGGCTGCGGACCAGAAGCTCCTGGTGCAGCGAGCGGCGGCGTGGCGAAATGAGAAACCGGAAGCCCCCAAGAAGGAGAGGCGCGCCTGGAGTTTGGCTTGCCTCGTAGAGTTGGATTGCCATTGGTTTTTTATTCAGTTGATGTCAGTTGGCTTGCATTTGCATAACGTTGGTTTGTTTTTGTATAAAAAGTTCTCAACATCTAAAGGTGCCTTCAAAGACCGGGAGATGAAAGGCATGAGCCATCATAGGTGTTCAGCAGCTGACTTCTTGCAATTAAGTACGTGGGACTCACTGAGTTTGGTTCTAATCATTTATCAGTGTCTTGTCCTGGAGGCGGGGCACACTGCTTAATGAAGTTCACATTAGGAAGTACGCTCTGAAGAGACTCTTCCAATCTACCATGTCCATCATTTGATGTGGCTCCAAAAGTTCTGAAGTTGGCTTGAACCAACCACAATGACCAGCATCTTGGTCTTCACCAAGCCTCATTTGCATACTTGATTTTGGGCTTTCTGTGGACTGCCTGCTGTTGGATGGCCAACTTGCCAAGGCCAAGGCCAACAGGTGCATGGAGGCGTGGGGGGAGGGGCAAATCGCCAAGCCCGCGAATACATATATATATATAATTATATACATATATATTGTTTGGAGGTGCATTGGCTTTGGAGCAAGCTTTGGGCCCATTTTACTCCTGGCCGAAAGGTCATCTTTGCAAGGAACTCCGTCATCGTTGTCGTCATTATCATTGTCATCATCATCAACATCCTCATCAACTTCATCATCAACTTCATCATCATCATCATCGTCATCATCATCATCATTATCATAATCATCATCATCATCAACATCATCATCAACTTCATCATCAACTTCATCATCATCATCATCAGCATCATCATCATGATCATCATCATCAGCATCAACATCATCATTTTTATTATTATCATCATCATCATCATCATCATCATCATCATAATCATCATCATCATCATCATCAACTTCATCATCAACTTTATCATCATCATCAGCATCATCATTATCATGATCATCATCATCATCATCATCATCATCATCATCATCATCATCATCATCATCATCATCATCATTGCAGCAAGCGACGGAGCTGCGCCAAACACTGGAGAAGACACAGTGGACCACTTTTGCGTGTTGATCGCCAGAATAGGTGAGCAACAGGCTAAACTCTCCGTTACTTCTTTATGCATTCGGGCGATTTAGCGTGAGGAAATCTATCGAAACCTTGTAGAACGGTATAGGGAACCCCCAAAAACGATAAAACCTGCTTTCCTGATGTGGCAGACGATGCTTGGAGCGTCTCGCGTTTGGCAGCTTTTTTTTGTGGCCCAGAATCCCAGCCATCATGTCTGCGCCTCCTGACGCGCCCAGCATATGTGAGATCGGGCTTTGCGGCCACGCAATGCTGTTTGTTCCGCGAACTTTGGCAAAAACATACCTGCCCAAAACGATAACCCAAACGATAACGAAACGATAAGCAGTTCATTCGGAAAATCGTCTTCGTGAGCAGTTGCCCATAACGGTAGACTCGTGCGCACAGTTTCGATGTCTCCGTGCTGCGTGCATTCGTAGTGCGCCATGAGTGATGAGGAGGCTCTCAAGCGTTTGCGAAAGGAGGTTTTCAAGGACTCCGATCTGCCTGGAAGCAGTGCCATTTGGAAGCTCACGCTTTCCCGTACGCATCTCCAACTGCCTCTTCAGAAGCTCGCTCGAAATCAACTGCTTTGCTTTAGAGAAACAGTTCTGCTTTGCGTTTGTGCGTTTGCTTCGTTGTTTTTTGGGAAGCCTCGCGCAGGTAACAGCGCTATCAGACAGCGTGCTCCGTACCAGATCGTCGAGCGCAAGTTGGAAGCAGAGTAACTACAGTGGAAGCGCGGCTTTTGGCAAGATCTCACATGGAGAAAACCAACGGTTGCTCTAAATCAAACGAATGAAATCATGAGGAAGCACCATGCCCAGCTGCGCATGTTTCGGGCACCTTGAAAAGCACTAAATCCTGACTTTCGACCCAATGGTCACTCGCGATGAAGCCCGCTTCGTCAAGGCAAATGCCCGGAGTAAGCGGAAACATGCAGCTGCTTTGTCTGCTGACCCAATGGAAGAGTCTGAAACAGAGCTGTGAAGCCAATGTGCCGTGACAATAAAACGCCAGTGCGCGCTCTCCATGTGCCAGAAACCTGCAAAACGATATAGGGAACCCCCAAAAACGATAAGAATGAGTCCTAAATCACTTGTGTGCATTTAGGTTTTGCCGCTCGCTCAGGTGCGGTTCTGATACAGCATAGCAATGTTTGCAAGGTACCTTTCTCCGATTTGTGCAAGAAGGCTCTGTCAATTCTTCATCCCACGTGGCCAAATGACCGTACCACTGCTTCTCAGATTGACTTATGGACTTGCCAGGTGAACCAACTGCAAAACGAACGGTGGGGTGCTTCCCTGTATTGTTTCAGCATGGTGGGCCGCAATTGAATTAGACACAGGAACCCTGTATGAGCAACGCCAGTCGGAGGTTGCCTCGAATTCGAGAGAGTTGCGCGGAATCAGCTTTGCAGCTGCGCTCATGAAAGAAACATATATATATATACATGTATTCTAATCACGTTGACCCCATGATGGTTTTCGAGGGCCGCTCGCTTTGTGGTTTCCAAGCGTTTCCTGTTTGAGGTCGGATAAGATGTGCGACTGGTCACAAAGATGGACAAACCTTGCGGGTTGCACCAGCTCCGAGCCAAACGAGTGAAAACGCAACAATGTTTAAAAGGACCCAAACTGGAGACTAGCCAACTTGCAAAGGCCCCCCCCTTCATTTTCAGGGTCATTTCTTGTCTTTTCTTTTTGCTGTTTTGTTTCGGCCTTGCCGCCCTTGGCTTGAACTGCCGCATTGGCAGGGCGTTTTCGCGGAGCGGCGGGCCATCGCGGCCGCGGCAGAGATCACCCCAGAGCAGCGCGTGCAAAGGCGAGGCTTAAAGAGACCCGAGCGATTCTGTTCTTCCACTGGGTTTCCCCTTCAGAGCGCAGAGCCGGACTTGTTTTTCAGTGAATGGACAGTTCTCCGTTGACTAGGTCCCCCAGCTAGGTGCCCTTTCTCACCCACCTTTTTTGGGGAAAAAAGGGTTCCCCTAGAATAAACAAAGCAGACAAAAAGTTGGAACCCTAATCTCTACTGGAGGACCAAGATTCACTGGGCTTCCTCAGCTGTAGATTAAATCAGAGCCTTTGTTCTTCCAGTCACTGGGTATGTAATCCTGAATCCTTGCCTTGGGTTGCGCAAGGAGTTGGTCCCGTTTGTAGTGGCTTTCCTGTAGGGATGGATGATTGGCCAAGCCTCTATTTTGAACAGCCCAGCTTTGTTCTTCCAGTGACTGGTTTGCTGGTAGCCCGGTAATGCGGGAATGAACCCAGGATTGTTTACAAGAGTCATTTCCTCATTCCCTGCTGAGCACTTGCAAGCTAGCTTTCCCCTTCAAAAATTGTAGATTCGATTTCTGGTGCTTTTCATTGAAACCGCCACTTCTAAACGTCTGAAGCAAAATAGCAGGATTCCAGCTATCCGATCTGAATCTATCCCAGAAAGTCGATTTCAGGAGCCCAGAACCATTCCCCAACTGGAGACGCAGGCGATGCCAGCAGGAGCTGCAGAGGCGCGCGGGAAGCCTCTGGTGCTCTGGGGATCCATGGCAGTGAGCTTTGCGTAGATACTTATCGCCAGTCCTGTTGAACATGCAGTTTTAGCATTATCGTAATAGTTTAATAAATTATGTATTTGCTCTAACGACAAAAACTCCGCTCTTGTTTGTTTGTTTGCAAGCAAGTCAAACACACTGTACGTAATACTTCGCGCCATATGCCCTAAGTATTATGCATGCATTGTTTTATTTGTTTTTATACTTGAGCACAGTTTATATTTGTATAGTTCAAAAGTGGTAAAACTTACTGTGATTGCTGTTGTCAAAAAACAAATGCTTTGGCAAGCTGCAATTCCTACTCTTATACCCGTAAAACTGCCTGGTCCAAGTGTCAAAGCAACGTAATCTAGTTGCTCATACAATATATTGCAACAAGATAATGCGTGTTCTATTGTTGGTAGCAGAATTTCAGAATGTCTATTCTTCTCTCCAATATCATAAAACATTATTTTACCAGAAAGAATAATGGCAATGGAACACTTGTTTGTCGTTGTATCTAGCGCAAGTATATTCAGTATTGAGGTACAACTCTACTTATAGAGACTATTTGACTTTGTTTGCATGATTATAAATTCTATCAATGAATTTCTACATTTATTTGATGACTTCACTTTTGCTAACCGAGTTTATATGCATTCTATGCAAGTAGTCTATTAGCATGCTTTGGTTATGCGTATTTGTACATATGGTAATTCTATTGTGCAGTACATCTATGTCATCCGGCACAATAGAGTGTAAATTTAGAGTATCAAATAAGTTGCACAACAACTGCGGATCTTTGTCCAAATTATAACCCACTAAGCTTATGTAGGAAAGGTTGTTACTTATATGGCATTCAACATTGTTAGATTGTTTTTCTAGTATGCTCTTCACCCTAGATTCATGTATTCTGGGTATACAAAATGTACATTTATTGCTAGTAAGATCTAGCCTTAACATACTATAACAAACATGCTCATTGTTCAATTGGGTAAAACTAATTGTATTGATAGATGCATCCCAGGGAATACAAGCGCAAACTTTAGCAAACTTAGCTCAAGCACAAAAAACAATCACATTATTTTACCAGTGTTTAATAAAATAGACTTGCCAGGGTTAGAAATAGAATCAGTAAAAAACAAGTACGATGTTTAACCAAAATCAACGTTGATAATGCTGTTCGCGTGTCTGGCAAAACAGGACAAGGGGTAGAGCAATTCCTAAAAAAATGTCGAAAACTTTCCTCCTCCAGCATCCTCTAAAAGTGAAAAGTTAAAAAGGATTAATAGTAGACAGCTGGCATGATAAATACTTAGGAGCAATATGTTTAATACGTGTATTATCTGGCGTGTTAAAAAAAAAGGTATGAGAATAAAATTCATGGCACAAAACATTATACCCCGGATTAAGCAGAACTTGTTGTTGATTTTGATTAATAGGGTGTCCCCTTTCAGTGATTGGATTCATCATGTTTGGAGGGAACACCCCCCTAATGGAACGGGTTCTACTTAGATCCTGGGTTAAACATGACAGGATTCCACGGGTAGATGAATAGAATCAATCTGAAGCCAGTGGATCTCGTCGAGGTTCAACCAAGAAACGAAACGGACACAACTGGCAGGAAAGGAGGAAAGCATCTCCCACCAAAACTCCGGCAGCGATGGGAGATTTGCAGCTTGCTGCAAGGGTTCCATTGCGCGGTCTACACCAACAGTCTAGTCCGTGGTGACATGACGAAACCGGTGCAATGCTGAGCCCCAACGCACGTTGGGTAGCAGAAGCGAGCCTGCTTGGTAGTCCTCCACTGAATTCTGTCTAGCAGCGTTTTAAGAAATTGCTTTGGTGTCATTCGAGCACTGCTTTGCGCTGGCCCGGCACTGGCTAGAATTGGTTTGTGCAATTGCTATGCAATTCGGATTTGTCCTGCCCAAACAAACATAGTTTCCTGTATTTCCTGTCCGGTTTCGTTTTCGGGTCGAGGACTAATCTTGGGCAGACTTTCCCACAGAAACCTTCCGACATCAAAACAAGCAGTCTGAGGCGGTCAAGCTTGCCAACACACACACACACACATTCACAGACACACACACACAACCCACCGTCCTTTGTTCCTACTTGCATGACTTCAATAATGATATCCCCCGAATAACAAAGATCCCCCGTAATAGTAGAAAACATCTTGGGGAACATGTTTTTGTCATAAGGGGGCCGGGGTGGGTGGCTGGGTTTGGCGGCCTGGGAACGTTAAGAACAATGAGTGGTTCTTCCAAACATACTGTGGATGGACGAAATTCTGCACCACCCAAGAAGCCCTGGGATGGCGTGGTTCCCTGTAAATACCAACAGACAGTAGTTTCCCATGGTTTCTTAGGTGGTACAGGATTTCGGCCCTCCACAGTGGGTGTCGCCTGACCTGCGACTCTAGGGATGCGTCGACTTTCCGCCAAACCCGGAATCTCTGGCAGTCATGCTAAACCGCACAGAGACGAGCTTGCTTTCTCAGGACGTCTTTCTCCTGGAATGCGGCGACGATGGAAGACGCCCCTCGGTCTGCAACTGGAGAGCTCTTTCAGCCTGCGATGTTGGCAGAATGTATAATTATCTACTTGAGTTTCTGTAGTTTTCGGTTATACGTTTCTGGTTTTGTTTTTTTGGTAGATAACTTCGAACACTTTGCCGTAGCGTAAGTTGGAATACCGAAACGGGACACCCGGAACCCCTCCCACTCATCCAACATCAAATCGCTTGCTTCCTATTTTGGGACGGCGCTTGTCATCCCATGTCATTGTGAGGAGTTTATATGGTTAAATTCACACGATTTCTTCGGACAATATCCTGACAATAGATTGACTCCGGTGACATCAGTGTGAATGCGTTTTTACTGCCTCATGGACGTGAATTGTAAGCACTGCTTTTGGCCACTCGCCAGTTCCCGCAGAAACATGGAATCCTATTGGGACACAAGTGGTTTTGCTGGGATGGGTCACAACCGGTCTCAAGATTGCGTCTTTCTTCTTGGCGGCTTGCTATGGTGCACCCTTGCTAGCGCTTTGAGAAGGTCATTCGTCTTCAACTGCCCCCCGGGGCGATGCATGGGATGACCTGCACATTACATGAAACGCCAGTCAGTGAGAGGCCAGGCGCTGAAACATGTGTGCGTTGCATTAAGTCTAAGAGTTGATTTGTTTGACTCTGAGTTGTTTCGATATGCTTGTAATGCGTTGCGCTGGATTGTTTGCTCCGGGTCATTGCTTTAGGCGAGAGAGGTGGGAATGGCAATACAAAGGTCAGACTCGTTGGTGAAGTTGGCTGGCGCTCATGGGTTCAAAGGAGCAAAGTATGCGGACGCAAAAACTTTGCTCATGACCAACACAGAACAAGTCGGCAACTGTTTTGCGGACTATCGAATCTCCGGTGTAGTATGTTTCGTTGCATTGTTTTCGAACTTTCGGGACAGGTTTAGCTTCTGATTTCCAGCGTGGGGCGTTGGTTTCATGCGCAGAAGAGTATGGCGTCATTGCTTGAAGGGTTCCCGTAGCTCCTCTCTGTGATGGCTTCCCGTCAGCTGACCAGTCGCCAAGTCTGTTCAGTGAATTTCCTGGGTGGCAAGCCCAGCCATCCTTGTCCTTAGCTTTTTGGCTTCCTTGTGTTTCGTGGTAGTTTCCATTCAACCCACTAAGTTAAACAATGGTTTGGCGGGGGATCTGAAAATGGACAGCCCAGTTGTGCTGCATGAGCAGCCGGCAGCCGCATCCATCCTTTGTGTGCCCAGGTCATGGCCAACCACCAGAAGCCCTGCAGGGGTCTTTTCTATGGCATGGTCTTCCCCTGGCGCTGAGCTTAGATGGCCATGGTTGTCAAAACCGTTATGGGGTCCCATTTTGGGATGGGTGAATTCACCACCCATTGTAGTCTATTTTGGCGGGGAAAACCTTGGGGGTCCCATTTTGGGGTGCACCACCCATTGTAGTCTATTTTAGTGGGGAAAAACAAAACCGGTCAAATGACGACGCTGCCTCCCGGTCAAGCTGCCATGGGTCCCAGGAGAGAGAAGCATGAAATTGACTCCTCTTTCTTGTGGCTCTTGAGAGTCACATCATTCGGATTGATCGATGTTCATCGCAGAGGGCACAAACAAGTCCAGCCTTCCATGAATCACGCGTCCAGCCTTAGATGGGTCACGGAGAGAACTGACGCTCACACACACACACACACCCACACACACACACACCCACACACCCACACACACACACTTACATAGGCAACGCACAAGCTATCTTCCAAGGCAGGGAAAAGGCTGTGCCAGCATCTTCAAGTTACAAGTTAGGCCACTCAGCCAATCACGTTGCACGGAATGGCGACGGTCGGAGGTAGTTGCCTGAGGTCGGAGCAGACCTTGGAAAGCATGGGTCCAGCTTGGCTCACCAAGGCAGGGACGCAAAACAATTGGATACCTGACTTCTTGAAACAGTAGTACAAAAAGCACGTTAGAAACTTTCGATTTGCTTAAGTCCCCTGGAAAAAATGAGAAAATATGTCCAGTAGTAATAGATTCCCTTTTAAACCAACAGGATTACTAAACCCGTAGCATTATTAGGGGGATGAATCCCTCCAAAAGTGGTCTGAATCCAGCCACTAAAACCAGTCGGACGCCCCATTAATCAACCAGGGGTTGATTAATCCGGGGTTAACATTACCTGACTTCTTGAAACAGATTCATGCCATGTTGCTAGGACTTGCACGCTCCCTTCTGGCCCTTAGCATGGGTGCCCAGTTTGGCCAAGTTGTGTTGGGTTCTGGTTGGGTCATGCAAGATTGTGGTCTTTGGCTGCAAGGTTCTTGCCCGCCACAGCACAATGTTAAGTGAGCGTTGGTTTTTATTCCCTACAAGCTTGCTTGGACATTAGTCAAGCTTCCGCGGACCATCGCGGACCCTTCCGCATCCTTGCCGCGGGCCAAGAGGTCCCTTCCGCGAACTTCCGCGGCACATGTGTTTCCTTGTTTGCTTCCGCAAGCCTTCTGCGGCGCATGTTTTTAAAGATTTGCTTCCGCGAGTATTGGCGCAGAAAGGAAAGTCATTTTAGATAAGGTAGTGTTTCGTCGCAGCCTGTGTAGACTTGGGCTCCATTGGGCTACCCATGCTACGTGGCCACTTGCCTGCAAACCCGGGGCCACCCTTCCGCGGAGCTTCCGCGGAGCTTCCGCAAACCTTCCGCGAACAAATCCCTTCCGCGAAGCCTTCCGCATGTTTCCGCGCGTGTGGCGCGGTGCACATTTTCAAGAATAATGTCCCTCTCCCTACCAAATTAGCTTGCGGCAAAAAACAAAAACGCCGCTCAAGTAGGGTGTGCGGGCTGGCAACTATGCAGTCTTACAGCAATAATGCAAGAGTTCTTCCATCAACCCAGCCAAAGAAACAAACAGAGAAGCCAAAGCAAACAAGGAGACAAACTACAGACAAACAAACAGCAACAAACACGCAAGCAAGCCACCAAGACAACAAACAACAACGAAAACAACCACTACTACAACTACTTCTACAACTACAACCACCACCGTCGTATGTGTTGTCGGCAAAGACATATGCATCGTGCGTCTCAAGAATCGGTTTCTTCCATCCGCATCGTTTTGCCCAGCGAAGCTGCAAGCATTGCCCGCCGGCAGCCCGCGAGGCTTTTCATCGAGCTGGCACCATGGCCGAAGGCAACGAAGTGCTGGAGCTGAAGCTGGACAAGAAGGCGTCACGTCTACAGGATCCTTGGAGTCCAGCTTATTGCTTACTTTCTAGGTCCCCCAGTAGTGCCCTTTTGCCTTTTTTTTGGGGGAGGCTTCCCCCACTAAAATAGACTACAAAAACAAAGGGTACCCTTATTCTAATCTCTCTACTGGAGGACCTAGCATTTGCTGAGAGGAATACGTTAAAAAGAAACTGTTGGTTTTACAGCGCGCGAATTGATTTCACTACTGGCAATATTCTATTCAGCAAATGGAGGATTCGCGACATTGGTTTTGCGAAGGATTCCCTTGGTGCGCCAAACTGGCTCCAGGATCACAGGTGGCAGAATGGCGACGTGGTGTGTCAAGGCTTCGGCTTCGTTTGGCTCTTCAAATGATGTTGGTTTCAGATTGGTGCCGCCAGCGCATCCTTTGACGTGAGACATGATCATGTGTTCCAGAAATATGGCCATGGGTCAAAAGCCCGTACCCCAAGTGAACATCCCACGCCCCACTAAAATAGACTAAAATGGGTGGTGCACCAATCCCCCAAAATGGGATCCGGTTGGTTTTGACCCACAGCCATAATTACATTGACAACCAACCTTGCGTTTGCGTATTTGGGCATGCCCATACGCTGAGGCAGGAAATCCCAAGCCCCACTTCAGACTTCGGAGATACAAGTCATTTTTGTTTTCAACGCAAACAAGAATAAAGGCATTTGTGTTTAGCTGCAGGCATAGTCTACTGATCACGCCCATCCCGCATGATAAATTGTTTGTGGGCTCTACAACTTGATTTGCCTTGCACGAGAACACGTGCGATACCTGAACATCCCTGGGCCGCTGCTGCGTTCCTCTCTTCTACCTGGCCCTCTTTGAAAGACGTCCAAGTGCGCACAAACACCCAGACGTCACAGACACAGGCACAGAACACACCCACCCACACACACACACACACACACTTTTTTTGGGCGCACTTGCGTGTTGCCTGCTTGCAGCCTGTAGCTAACTATCCGTCTCGCTCGCCTGACCGCGATTCGCCATGAAAGCGAGCTTGAGCTAGCTGCAGGTACTACTTTTGGCAAGTGCATGGGCTGAACCCCACTTATTGATTTTATCAACAAACTAATAAGTTGGGCCGAAATATTTTGATAGGATCAATAGCGTAGCCCCCCCCTCAAGCACCTCCAGGTGGTAGGTTCGACGGCCCGGTGATTTAAGGGTGGAACTAATTCATTTCAATCAAAAATCATATTGGTCCAACCCCCCAAACGCGCCGATTCGATTCTAGCGAGCCCTTCGGACTTCGGCTCAAGCCCTGCCTCACCCTTTCTGCTTGCTAGCTTTCGTCCACCCTCCTGGTGCTTGGGGAGTCGAGCTCAAGAGGCTTGAGGTGATGTTCAGCTACTTCCCTGTTCCTGGCATCATGTTGTTTTTTCGAGGTGGCTCGGCGCGGGCGGTTCTCGGATTGACGCAACATCGGTTCTGCATTCTGTAGGTTGGCTTGATAAGTTCGCATGATTTCTTTGCAGTTGCTTCAAGTTCAGCTACGCAAAGTCGGGAGCCACAATCAGAGAGGGGAGTTGGTTTACACACAGGGATTCAGTTGACCTCTTCAATGACTTTCACCCGAGATGTCCTTCCGAGAGTAAGGCTTCCTGCCGTAGCATTGTGCTAGCGATTTGTACAGCGCCGAGGGCCGGAAAAATCCACCTGGCCGCGGTTGTTTGTCATGTTCTGTCGTTGAGGGATGGCAAGTACGCAGTCGACACGTGTTGAGCGGACAGACTTGTTGAACGGACTGACGGTCGTTGGGCAACACGTGGCCCTGCCACAAGTGGCAGTGGCAGGCAACCCAGGTGAGCACGCAACCTGACACACAGGCCTTGCCTTCCTCACAAGCGGGGAGTCTCACCAAAAAACCGCGTAGATTTGGACGTGCGAGCCCGTAGTTACAAGAAATCACTTAGTAACAAACAGCGGAGACTAGGAAATCCATGTTTCTCCCCTGAAAGCTACCGAGTCTCTGCCCCAATAAGCTATGTGGTTCCCAGCTTTCAGTGATTCAGTCAGGGTTCCGGAAGGTTTCAGGGGCTGTGGATGGGCTTCTTCCCCCCTCATTTATCATCTGCTGGGATCCGTTCTCCGGACTCGGCTTTGGCTTCGCAGAGAGTGCCAGGTCACTGCGGGCAACAATGCGGGAAAGCTCCCTGGCAGAGGTTGTGGCACGTGATGCAGAGAAGTGGTTTTGCGCTGGGGGGGAGGGTCGGTTTTCTGCAGTTGAAAGAATGCGGGGCCAGGTGATGTTGTGGCACTCTCCGAGTGATTTTGGGGTAGCACTCTCAGGTCGCAGATCCGAGCCAACTTGTTGACGGATCAAGTCACGATTTGATCAGGCATCCAACCTCTTTCCAGAAAGGCAACATCCCCATTGCCCAAGAGGTATGAAGGGGCAAGACAGCGGCTATGTTTTTTTTCATGTTTGCGCCTGCGAAGGGATTCCGTTTGTGGCATGGTGAGTGTGTACAAGCTCAAGCAGGCAGATGTTGCACTCTGATGGTGTTGGCAATTCTGCGCCTCCTTTTCCTTGCATGTGTACTGCCCCAGCTTGCCGCGCGAACGCTATATCATGGCACGTCCTTAGCAAACTGCGACAGGATTCGCATGGGCGGCTTCATTCCTAGTCTGGCAACAGGCCCCAGCCATACTTGCCACGGTGAAGGTATTTACTTCACGCCAGAGAAGGCTTTTGCTCTGGGTTTTGCCCGACGTGCTGCCGGCAGTGTTCATGATCTTTGCCTGATCTCGTTTGAGTTTGACGAGTCAGTTGGCGCAATCGCGTCTCTTCCATCCAGCTCCACGTTCAAGTTTGACGCTCCTGTTGACTTCACCAGGTGGGTATGGGTCAAAATTACACCACCAGGGGACCGCATATTTTTGTCCATGTTTCCATTTACCTGCGTTCCATTTTGGGTACCTATTTTTGACTCACAGCCAGGTCACACAAAGGCCAAGAGTACATCTTCAAACATCAAGGGATGACGAAAATGACTGGAAGCAGCGTGTCTTTCACTCAAGTGGACCGCGATGGCAGTCGCGTGACAAGTTCACAGTACGGTTCATTGAAGATTGGCCCAACCATGTTCTACGACCTGGATGGACGGGCACATGCCAGAAGCGCAAGTGCCTGGCTTAGCAAGGGCGAGCATCGCTACATGCAAGACACAGCCTTACAGCATTTCTCATCTCTGGAGTTGCTGAAGGATCCAACGTACCATCTCTTCAACGTGGTGACAGGGGCCCTACGGGCCGTCCTGGACTGTGACGCGCTGGACTCAGATTGCGCGGCCGAGCTGCTGGAAGGTGCTCTGGTGAGCACGTCGCGGGGTGCGGGGGCGCTGGCCGGAGGGGCACTCGGAGGTGTGGCTGGAGCTGTGGGCGGTGGTTATGCTGCCAGTGCGTTGATGGTGGCGACTGGCATCTTGACTGCTACTGGGTTGGATCTTTAGACTTTAACTTTTTGGGAAATCAAGGGGTTTTCCACTAAACCCCCAAAAAGTCAAACTTTTTGCAGGGGGGTCAACAGCAACCAAGGCATTGTGAGTCCCTGGCTAGTGCCGGTCTCAATAGCAGCAGGTGGTTGGGGTGGCCGGGCCCTTGGGCAAAGTATGGTCGCTGAGCTGGCTGCCTCAGTAGCACAATGGATTTCGGAGCACACGCTGCGACGATTCATCGGCTTTCTGCAGCAGCTTGCTGGCTGGGACGGGCAGCACGCGGCAGTGCAGGAGTTAGGCATCGCTTGGTCATCTCGAGCATCCTGTGGGAAAATCCGCGAGCAGCGTCGTCGGCTACTGCAGAGGCATCATCCTGACATTTGCCACACGGAGGTTTGCAAAGAGAAATCGCTCCGGATCAATGCTGCTTATGACAAGCTGAGCAAGGGTTGTGTGGATGACTCCTTTGCTAAGGCCGGCAGATACGATGAGCTCTGAGCCCATCAAACAGTAGTGCGATGAATGCATCATAGGCGTTGGCCGCAGCAGAAGTGTTGAGCTCAGCCCTGAAGAGTACCGCTCAAACATGTTGGGTACAGCATGATATCCACCTTAGAACTGATCAAACAGTTAATGGTGTGTGTATGTGTATGTGCTGCAAGGGCACGGAGCAGGACAGTGCTTGCGCATGGCTACACCTTGCTCAACACTTCTCTTAAGCTGCTACAGCTGGTATCCTAGGTCCCCCAGTAGTGCCCTTTCACCCTTTTTGGGGGGAGGGTTCCCCTACTAACATAGATGTCCAGAAAAAAGTTGGTACTCTTATTCTAACCTCTCGATCTCTACTGGAGGACCTAGTATCTTACAGACTCTTTTTTTCCGGAGCTGTCAATCTCTGAGCTCACCAGGGGGCACGCAGGCCTCCGGCCCGTGAGCTAGAATAGACAAGAGCTGCTCAGCAGAGTCTGCTGCAAAACCGCGGAGTTGGGATTGTCTTCCATTTGCTGAAGAGTATGGTATATTTTCCCTTGTTGGCTTTAAAGGGGGCCTATTTATCACTATTGGACTTTGTTTCCAGGTTGTCATTCTCTAAAACCAAGGAACTAATGGAACATGACCTGTTGGTTGGTTTGGAGTGTCCGGTCATGAACCCCGCAGCCAAGACCTTGCACATGGCCTTGCCCGACTGAGGTTTATTTTCGAAGTCAGGCCAGCGACCCAGATGTTCGCTGGTGCAGGTGGTTGGGCTATGCATGCGTATGCCAGCATGTCAGCGCAGCAGTTTTTATCTATCCCAAACTAACTATTCAGACTGTATGTGGCTCACCTTCCTTGCATGCAAAACGCCAACCAAGACTAGCACGTGCAAATTTATTGGCACTGCTATTTAGCGACACCGTGCCGTTTGCAACCCTGCGCTTGGTTTTGCCTGCAGGCGGAAACAAGGGTTGCTACTGAGGACTCACTGGATCAAGGCTTGAACAAGTATAGCCATCAAAAGAGCTGGGTGGCATAAATGAGATGAACAAACACACCCACCCAACAAGCAACAATGAATGTCAATGAATAATGACCGAGGATATTTGCCAAAAATCGCTTGTCGGGCTGGAGAAGGTACTGGTAGGAACGAGTCGTTGTCAAGTCCATTGACGAAAACAGCTGAACAGCATGAATCGTTTGACAAGCCGAAGCAGATACGATGCTAATCATGGCGGTAATACACAAGACAACATGCCGCTCTGTAATTGTGTAGTCACCGAAATAGTTACTTTTAGTCCAACTACAACGACCACTAAAGCCTAGTTGTTGGTTGTTTGGGTTGAACAGCTTGCTTGCCTTATTGCCCTCCGTGGTTGATTTCACACCAATACAATATACTGACAGCGCTCTTATGCTTCTGAAGTCTCCGATGTCCAGAGTTTCGCTAGGTACAAGTGGCAGACACCAGATCTGCACTGCAAGCTCTTCGCCAAGATCCCGTTTCCTTACAGCGGAGCAACGACCAATGACCGTCTGAGCAGCTCTGTGAACAAGCAGCCCATGGATTTCTTCGAGGTCAACGCGTATCGCCTCTTCGAGGCTCGGAGCGGCGACCTTTTCAAGCCCAAAGCTTGTGAAGTGTTTTGGGTGGAAATATCGTGAGTCCTATTATTTAAACCTTTCACATGGCCTCTTTCAGGGCTTCCCTTGACTGATTCGTGGACTTGTGGATCTGCACAGATGGTTGCCATGAGCATATGTTTTTCAAGGTTGCCTTGAGCTGAAGTGGGCGCGTGCAAAGTGCTTTGCCTCCAAGCTTTCCTCTTAGCGGGAAATCATTCAGAATTCATGGAGTCTCCGCTTTTCGTTGCTTCATGGAGAGCTGTCAACCCCCCCCCCCCCCTGCCCCCCGTTTCTTGGTCCGGAGGAAGCCTGTCCGTCACAACCCGCCCACCTAAACCCCCGCCCCTCCAGAATCTGCGCTTTTACTGAGAGCTGCATGAAGGCTCGCATCGGGCAGAGCCATTTCCATACTGGCCATCAATGCAGGGCCCAGTGAGTAGCAGGACCCGACGCACGGAAACGGGAACCTCAATGGCAGGGTCAGGTATGTTGTTGGAATGCGTGCTTGCGCGGCACCCCACCAGAATCATCATAAAAGCTCTATATTTCACCCCCTCAGGCCTCCTGCACACCACACCACCAATGCAAGAAATTACAGCTTGCAACGCTGCATATTTCACCCTGAATAAAAAAAGAAAGAAACTCGCTTCAAAATCCATAGGTTGCCCTTGACAACCTCAGGCCTCCATGCCGGTCAAGATCCCCAAGTACTACTTTGGGGACATCAGCAACGAGTCGACCAACTTCATCCTGATCACCGAGTGCATCCCATTTGCTGGCTACCCGCCCCTGCCCGCCTTTAAGATCGAGGGGCCCTACGTGACGCTGGGATGAAGTTGCCATTGACACCAAAACGCCGTGAGTATCAGAAGGATAGAGGCCATTCAGCAACGTTGCTTGAAGCAATACATACTTGCGAAATTCCACCAAGCGATTCTCACAGCGGTCTCTCACTTGGGTTTGCAGTTGGGCTTGTGGCCGGGGGGGGGGGGCATTGTACTTTTGTTTTATATGCGTGATGCCTTTTATGTACCAAATAGTAAAGGTACTAACTGGTCAGCTCAATTCTGATCATCATCACGCTGACTTGGGCTAGCAAGCTTGGCTGAGAGTGAAGTGCCTAACTCTTGAACCGGGATCCTGGATTCCTTGCTGGTGCGATAGGTAGGGAATGCTCGTTTCGGGTGCTGGGAATGAACCGGAAGGGGATTCCTTCAAAGAAAATCAAGTCGGGGATGGTGTTTCTCAGGGTCATTTGATTTCTCATTCCCTGCTGAGAACCCGTCAACTGGGTTTGGGGGTTTGGGACATGCAGACGGCGAGGTCGATCAACAGTTGGGCGTGTTTTGTGTGAGAGTCCGTTTTGGGGCGGTTGAACTTGTGTAAGCCTAAATCATGACAAAATTAATGCAGGTATATAATACGTATATATATATAGTATATGTATGTATGTATGTATGTATATACAACAGATTGATATGGCGTCATATGATCTCATATGGTCTCATATCCCCCCGGTTGTGAGCATACGTTTTTCGCTCGAGCAAGGAAGTGCAAGGACTTTGAGATGGCCGGCAGCGAGAAGGAGCACTACTTGCTGCTGATGTGGCTAAGCCACCGTCGGGTCGGCGGAGCTTTCGTTTTTGGGAACTCCTGTTCAGGACGCGGGGGGTCTTTTTGCCACCTTGGGTGGAAAAATGATCCACCCCCTTGTAGTGAAATATTTTTTTTTGAGGGGGTTCGTCAGGGAGGGTTTCGGAGGGTTCCAAAGGGTTCCGAGCTGGGGATATCGTCACGATTTAGCTAAAATGTATGTCTACACATGCATGAAATATTGAACTATACTCGTTAGATAGTATTGGTAAATACAACAGATTGTCCAGCTCTCGTCTTTTTTCGCCCAAACAGCTGGAAGCTTTGGGGTGGATAGACCCAATTAGCTCTGGTTGGTGTTTGGGGAAGCTTTCAGGGAGGGTTTCGGAGGGATCCAAAGGGGCTGTTGGGGATATCACCTGGGTATAGTGTAAATGTATTCTTAAATCTAAATATGAACCAGAGTCCGACTCGGACAATAGTTTTGTTGAGCATGCCTTGGGGCGAATTAGAATCAGACAGCTTGATGCTTTGCGTAGTGTGTGTGTGTGTGTGTGTTTTGCGTTTTTGTCAGGGCAAGGTGAGAACAAGATACACGCAAATGAATGAGTTTGGTTCTGTTGAACTACAGAAGGCCATGCGCCTGGTGTTCATGCTTGCCTGCTTAGTGTCTGATTGGTTCCGGCCTGGAAGGTAAAGTGTTTCACCTCCATGCTGGACTGATATTGAGAGCATTTGTTTCTGGCAGGCAAACAAGAGTAGCCGCTCTAGAATCGCCTCCGACGGCACAAAGCCCGGAGCAAAATACTTGATGGTTGGTTTCTTTTGTGCTAGGTGCTGAGTGGCTGGCGTGTTGCTTCTGAATTCGCTGGATGATTCCATCGCGTGTACCCCATAATTTTTCATATAGGGCTTCATCCATCCCAACTGGTGCAGGATGTTGCCCATCCGCAGAATGACACAAACATCATGCGGAGGAGAAGCATTGCATGCTAGTACCTACAATATGATGGTTTGCATGAAAGAGTTGCAGCCACGGTAGCTGTGAAAGACTAAGAGGCGCCGACCAGCCTGTGCAGTAATTATTGTTCCGTGTTGCTTTTTTTGAGGGTGCCCTTTGTGGGGTCGGTTCAAAGCGTATCAAAGGGGTAGCCACCCACTTTGCAGGCGCCATAGAGAGCGAGACTCATTTGGCCATGGATGAAAATCCAAATCGTACCCCCAGTGGACATCCCCATCCCCACTAAACTAGGAAGCCTACAATGGGTGGTGAATTCATCTACCAACCAAACTGGGATCCCAAAACGGCTTTGACCACCACAGCCATTTGATTCACGCATTCCATGGCTCTCCGCGCGAGGCAAGTCCACGGCCGCATTGGGGCCGCCGCAAAGCGGGGTGACCTCGGCAGCGAGGAGTTGCTGGCGACGCAGCTGTCGCGACCGAAGCTTCGGCTGGATAGGGAGGAGACGTTCTTCCATTTGGTTAAGATGTGTTTTTTTCCTTGGTTGGTTTTAAAGGGAATCTATCACTACTGGAAATATTGTTATTGCTTCCAGGGGACTTAAGCAAATGGGCTTTGCGTATCACACCCTGGGATTAATTTGTTAACCCGGATTTTATTAGACCCCTGGTTGATTAATAGGATGTCCTGATTTAGCGGGGGTTCAGACCACTTTTGGAGGGAACACCCCCCCAACAATGTTACGGGTTTAGTAATCCAGCTGGTTTTAAAGGGAATCTATCACTACTGGACATATTTTCCCATTTTTGTCCAGGGGACTTAAGCAAATCGAAAGTTTCTAAAGTGCTTTTTGTACTACTGTATGAGGATTGCGGGCAGCACACTGGCAGGCTGGCTGCTCGCCTTTCTTGGCCGTGCTTTTGATCACATTGCGAAAATGGCTGAGACGAAGCCTCGGCCAGCTGCTCGACCACGTCCAGGGAAGAGAGATCCCCCACGGTTGGCTGGAGCCGATGCCGCCGTGGCTCTCTGCCCGATGCCTGCCATCCCCGCACACGTCGGTTCGAAAAGTCGTCGCGCGAGGAAGGCCGGTTCTGACTTTATGAGACCAGCACCTTCATTACTTTGTCGCGACTGCAGATATGAGGACCTGCATCTGCACGCCCAAGTAAGACGGTCACCCTACAGATCGTCAAAATCGCATCCATGGCGTTTGGGATACTTGGGCCAGGCTGTCATGAACTCTGCCAGGCAGGAGCTGGGAGGTTTAATTACCAACACCAGCTCTCAGCTTCCCCCTCCGCCTCCGGGACATCCCTCAAGAAAATCAATTAAAGAGCTTGGAAGAACAAATTTTCAGTGGAACAAATAGCGGCAACCCCCACAAGTCGTGGTGTCCCTCTCATTTCTTGAACACATTCCAAAAAACGGGATCCGACTCAACAAGGACGACCCACCCGATGGGCATCCCTGTGTGTAAGGGCTCTTGAGCCTTCACTAACCGCTTTTTTCGCGCCAACTTCCAGTGCTCCCCCAAGTTGTGGTTTCTCTCTAAATTTTTTTCAACACATCCAAAAGGCGTGAGAGTTGGACAATTGCGCCAACTTCCAACCGAAGTGCTCAGGAACCTCCAGGCGCTGACCGTTTCGGCGGAGGCTGCCACTGGAGGTCACCCGAAGGTCTGCGCCACCGGCTTGCGGGGCGCCATCAAGTTTTTCGCCGCCACTGCCCAGGTGCTGCAGCTTTGGCCGGTTTGGCACAAGGAGCTCCTCATTTGGGGGTGGTGGTCAAAAATAGCGGGTAACCCCAAAATGGGTTTCCCTTGTAAATGGAAGCTCATTTGTGATGTGTGTGTTTTGGGAAATCGGCCTCATCCAGCTTGGGTGTAGTTGCCAAAAATAGTTGGTCACCCCAAAATGGGCTGCCTGTTCGCAAAATGGACGCATGGTTACGCTCTGGTTTGCATTCATTGTTTGGTTGTTTCCTGCTGACACAACAGCCGCCTGGTCGTTTGTGTTTTTTTGGGTAGACGCTGTCCTGCGCCTGCGGAATTTGCTGTTGCTGGGGCACAAAATCAACATGCTGTTCCCGCCAAAGGCCTTATTTAGATTCAGGAAAATCGGAGCCAACATATCAGTGTATCAGCTGACTCTTGGGTAAAAAGGTTGTTTGCAACATGCCCACGGACATCCACAACCACTGGATCCATGTTGGCACAAATGCTACGAAACACGCTCGCGCACATCCATGTGCTACCACAGCCATGCTGGCGCACAAGCCCGCGCGCATCCACAAGAACTGCAGCCAAGCTGGGGAAAATTTGCAGTTGCGCATAAATGAAAATGACATATATATGTATATAGATTTATACCTGTATGTATATATATGCTCAGGTCCCCCCCCATGAACTACCTTTTGGGTGTTTTTTCAATGTCTCAAGGCCAATAATTCTACTTCTCTGAAGGGCAACTATTCTGCTTCTCTGAAGGGCAACTATTCTGCTTGTCTGAAGGGCAATGTCTCAAGGCCAATAATTCTACTTCTCTGAAGGGCAACTATTCTGCTTCTCTGAAGGGCAACTATTCTGCTTATCTGAAGGGCAATGTCTCAAGGTCAATGGTTATACTTATCTGAAGGGCAACCATTCTGTTTATCTGAAGGGCAACTATTCTGTTTATCTGAAGGGCAATGTCGCAAGGTCAATAATTCTACTTATCTGAAGGGCAATGTCTCAAGGTCAATACTTCTACTTATCTGAAGGGCAATGTCTCAAGGTCAACAATTCTACTTATCTGAAGGGCAACTGTTCTGCTTGTTTGAAGGGCAAGGGTTTATTCCATTTAGATATATACAGGTTGTGTGTGAGTGTCAGAGTAGCTTGCAGCCATCAAAGGGACAGTTTAAGCCGCCCCCTTTCCTAACGCAAGATCCGCTCGGCTCAGTGGACACATTGGCACAAGGACTGCAACCAATGGGAGGCAACCGGCAGCATGGTGACGGATCTGATGCAGTAGTCCCCCAATGGCGTGTAACATCGTCTCGATTTTGTAGCTGCAGGAATCGTGAGAGGTGGCGCTCGGCATAAAAGAGAAGAGCACTTGCACGTTCACCATCATCGCAATAAAAAAGAACTCGGAAACCTTTCGGAAACCATTCACAACTTCTCACAACTTCTCGGAAGCAATTCGGACACCTCTCGGAAAACACTCGGACATCTCGGAAACCATTCACAACTTCTCGGAAACAATTCGGAAACCTCTTGGAAAACACTCGGCGCATCTCGGAAACCATTCGGACCTCAATCAGACAAGCCCGCAGCGCTGTCAGAAGCTGTAGACATGTATATGGTGTTGCTTCTAGATATATGTATACAGTCTGCTGCGTGATGAGAAGCAATATATATGGTCAGGTCTATACCCTTAAAACATGTTTTGTTTTTTCTCGAGTTGTTTTAGTTTTTTTAAATCAGAAAACCACAAAAACTCAAGGCTTTTTTTGGTTTTGGCCCTAAAACCAAAAAAACTCGAGGAAAACCAAAAAACAAAAAAAACTCGAGAAAACCAAAAAACCAAAAAAAAAACAAAATTCTGGGGAGAATCTTGGGTTTGGCTTTTTTTGTTTTTTTTTGTTTTCTCGAGGTTTTTTTGTTTTTTTTTGGTTTTCCTCGAGTTTTTTTTGTTTTTTATCAGAAAACCAAATAAACCCAAGGCTGTTTTGGTTTTGGCCCTGAAACCAAAAAAAACCTCGAGAAAACCAAAAAACCAAAAAAAACCAAAATTCTGAGGAGAATCTTGGGTTTGGCTCATTTTTTTTGGTTTTTTTGGTTTTCTCGAGGTTTTTTTGTTTTTTTTGGTTTTCCTCGAGTTTTTTTGGTTTTTTGCCAGAAAACCAAATAAACCCAAGGCTTTTTTGGTTTTGGCCCTGAAACCAAAAAAACCTCGAGAAAACCAAAAAACCCAAAAAAAAACAAAATTCTGAGGAGAATCTTGGGTTTGGCTCATTTTTTTGTTTTTTTTGGTTTTCTCGAGGTTTTTTTGTTTTTTTTGGTTTTCCTCGAGTTTTTTTGGTTTTTTGCCAGAAAACCAAAAAAACCTTGTTTTTTTTTGTTTTCTAGGCTCACCCACCTGGAAAACCAAAAAAGCCTTGGGTTTTTTTGGTTTTCTGATAAAAAACCAAAAAAACTCGAGGAAAACCAAAAAACAAAAAAACCTCGAGAAAACCAAAAAAACCAAAAAAATAGCCAAACCCAAGATTCTCCCCAGAATTTTGTTTTTTTTTGGTTTTTTGGTTTTCTAGAGGTTTTTTGTTTTTTTTGTTTTCCTCGAGTTTTTTTTTGGTTTTAGGGCCAAAACCAAAAAAACCTTGTTTTTTTTTTGGTTTTCTAGGCTCACCCACCTGGAAAACCAAAAAAGCCTTGGGTTTTTTTGGTTT